ATCCAGGGGTCGCGTGAGGCTGCCGAGAAGCGTCCAGAGTCAGAACGTGAAGGCGCAGCGTGACGATAGGACAGAAGGCGGAGAGGAGCTGAGTGCACGCCGTGGGCAGCCGTGTGCCTCAGGGTGATTCTGTCTCTGCTCCTCAGGCTTCGCCTCGCCTGCGGTGACCGAATCGTTCATCCGGAAGGTTCTCACCGCCATTATTCACATTCCCCCCGTAGACCAGCCAGTTCCTCCCTCGCCGTGAGCTCCCGAGACGCCACCACACATGCAGCTGTGGGGACCCTGTCGCGCTCAGGACAGGAAGCATCTGCCGTTTTTCTAATCCGACTGAATGGTCAAGGGACTCGTCCCTCAGAGCCGAATTATCCAAAGTGCTCCAGGATTCAACAAAGCAGCACAGAAAGGACTTTGCACTTTTAGAAACGTATCTCAGAAGGAGGATATGTTAGGAAACGGTTCTGTGTTGAAGATGGCTGTGAACATGAGCATCTTCTCTAGTCTGGAAAGCACATCACTGTGTTCGTCCTCACGGAATTGTCTTTCCCGTCAGTGGACAGACCTGCACGTGCTCATAAGGACACACGTTTACACACACAGACAACGATGGTACAGATAGGTGTGCATACCGTTTAAAGTTGTATTCTTTTTAGTGGGGTGAACTATGAAATTAAACCATAACTTACGAGGCATTAAGTGACCATGTTATCTAAATTTCTCAAATTGTAAGAATCCAAAAAATATTTACCACAGGATGTACAAAATCTTCTGTTAGAAAAGTCTATGATCCCTGAATATGACTTTCTTACCTTTAATATAACAAGGGAACTTTCATTTAATAAATGCAGACTAGGCCATGCCAATGTATTTTGAAAATATAATCCTCCATGCAAAAGACCAGGCCAACTGGACAAAATATAATTTTGATGAATTAAATTTGAATTTAATGTAATCTGAAATGAATTACTCAGATATTCTTCCCTGTTGTTCAAACAAGCAGAAAGTGATAAAAAGAACACGAGCAGAGTTTGACCACATAACCACCACTTACTGAAAATCATCGAATCTTTCTGGGCCTGACCTTTTAGTGAGCACAACAGTGAAATGGTTTCTACCTATCTCACACAAGCACTGAAGATCCAGCATAATCCCGAACCTTAATATACACGCTAGATGTGTACATTGTTGGCAATATTTTGTTCATAGGTAACTACGATGCCGGAGGATCCTTGGAATTAAAATAACTATCTAATTTCCAGGTTACAAATAATGGTCCTTCTATAATCTGGGGGCCCCGTTGTAATAATCTGGGGGTTTATCTAAAACAAAACCGCCTGGACCGCACAGTCCAATTCATGTTAGAGCATACGCCGCACCAGATAAAACAGTGACCCCATCCCACGAGCAGAAATGGACCATGCATCTGCTCGTAGGGCTGATGTCGTGTGGCCCTTTCACGATGCCTGCTTCCTCATGTTAGACGGTGGCCCGCTGCTTGTGGACATGCATGTGTGTGAGCCAGACTCTTGGCATTGTCTGGAATGCTCTCCTCTGCCTGGTTCACGCTTGCGTTACTTCTCTCTTAACTGAAGTCACTGTCTCTGCCTCTATTTGCTAAGATAAAGGCACAATCCACCTTGGAGGGAACCCGCTGACAGCTCGGGATATGATGGCCACTGAGAGCAGAAACCAAGGAACATGAAAGATTGACTCAAGAGGGTGACCCAGAGCTCCGGCCACCAGACAAAAGAGGGACAGCCCCTGCTTCTCACAAGCGTATGATTTCTGCCAAATCGACTCAAGCCGTGGGCAGAGGCACGCAGTATGGGATGCCCTGGACTCACTCTGCGTTTCTCACCCTAAAGATGTTATCAATGCCGGCACTCAACCTTTGTTGGCGGTGATTTTGGCACTGAATTTACCAGGGAGGTAAAATAGAACATATTTGGTAAGTGAGGACATGGAAACAGGAGATTGTCAAGTATATGGGTGCTTGATCAGCAAATCACTTGGCCCATGGGGGTCTTGGACCACGTGATCATGGGGGCCCTCCAACAGACTTCTCTGTATTACAGCAAATCTCGGTGAAGCAATCTCTAGATAAGAGGAACCTAAAGTGATTTCTTCTTAGGAAAGATACTTTTGCTTGACTCAGAAATCGAGCCAGCCTTTGGTGCTTCCCTGCAGAGAACTAGCAATAACCAGAACCACAGTGGAATGTTGTCCACGTGGGTCATCACTGTTTGATCCGAGTGACTCCTCAGGACCTAGGATTCACACGGGAGCCCCTCTGAAAGGGGGTAGATTGTTACACTTCGCTGCCAAGGATACTCAGTCAATCGGATGCATTAGTCTTAGAAGGTGCTTAGCTGGGGAGCTGGATGCTGAATATGAATTCTGAATCCAGGAACCTGACAAATGATTATTTATCCTCTTAATGGGCACTTGCCTTCCAACTATGTCCTTGTATGCTTCAGATTCTCACTCAGTGTTTGCTGGTCACCGTGTAGTTGGGTCCTACAGATAGACACTCAGGGCCTGCATCATCCTAATGTAGCCATTCACTTCATGGTTCTATCATACATCCACTTATGCTCATTTACTTGAATGTTTCTAGAAAAATGTCGTTAGTTTTGATCTTCTATCTCACTTTTAAAAACAATTATGTTCTAAGCATTCAAGTTAGAATAATAATTAAAAAAAAACCCTGTCTCAATGTCCACAATAGCCAAACTATGGAAAGAGCAGATATGTCCTTCAACAGACAAATGGATAAAGAAGATGTGGTCCATATACACAATGGAATATTACTCAGCCATCAGAAAGGATGAATATTTACCATTTGTATCGACCTGGATGGAACTCGAGGGTATTATGCTGAGTGAAATAAGTCAAACAGAGAAAGACAATTGTCATATGGTTTCACTCATATGTGAAATATAAGAAACAGCACAGAGGATCATAGGGGAAGGGAGGGGAAAATAAAATAAGATGAAAACAGAGAGGGAGACAAAGCATAAGAGGCTCTGGACTCCGAGAAACAAACTGAGGGTTGCTGGAGGGAAAGTTGGGGGGATGGGGTCACTGGGTGATGGTGTAAAGGAGGGCACGTGATGTAATGAGCACTGGGTGTTATATGCAACTAATGAATTATTGAACACTGAATCTGAAGCTAATGATGTACTGTATGTTGGCTAATTGAACTGAAGTAAAAAGAAAAGAGACAAACCATATCTGGTTGCATTCTAAAGCTATTTCATTAAGTCTCTGCTTCTTTAAATTACGTCAGTTTGTACTTTAAAAGTAGATTATTTAAAATATTAGCCTAAGTAAACTAAAACTGAAAGTTTAATTCTAGCAAATGAAGAGCAGAACCTACAATGTGGTTAAGACCCTCGGTTAAATTTTGCGTATTTGCAAACCTGTCCTACCAGAGCCCAGGGCACACAAACACCCACGCTTTGAATAGTGCTGCCCGCTTCTGTCCGAGCACAGAAGGGCATCTGGAGGAGCAATACTGCTCACACCATCTTTATAAGGAGCTACGGTCAGGTGATAAACCAGGAACCAGCTTCAGAAGTTAATGACTTTGCCCCAAACTGCACACATTAGGAAAGTGTCCACAGGCAATTTGCCAAATGGGTCTACTTCCCAAGGTTCCACACACTGTGTTCCAGGAAGGTACCGCCTGTGATTCTCAGCACGCAGCTCCGTCTAGTCAGTGACACGGGGGTGCGGGCTCACGGTCCATGCAGTGGAGCGGGCGGTGCCTACGTGTGTGCTCTGATGCACATCATCGGACTGTCCCCACAGTCTCAATGCTCTCAGTGTCGTGACAGGAGGAACAGTCTGGGGACCCCACACTTTGATGTATGAGATCTGTGTGCACACACGTATGCACGCAGGTGTGTATGGACATGTGTGCATACCTGCGTGAATGGAACGGTGACCTCAACCTGCTCCAGCAATCATAAAATTCAGGTTCCTGAAGGAGAACATTAATTTATGTCCTCCGCACAGTAGCAACAACCAGCCTCACACCTGCCCCATCTAAAACAGCTCTCCGCACTGGCTGAAGCTTCTGTCCTTTGTATCGAGAAATTAGCTCTCCCAGAATTCAGAGTATTGAAGAGCTTTGAGTCCAAGGAGGAAGCATAAGAGAACACACTCCCTTTGCTTTTAAACACATTTGGCATTTCTCTGAGGCAAACTCTAAGCCAATAAAGACTAAATCTAGATTCTTCAGAAAATTCCCACCTTTTTCTAGAAAACAAATGACTTTTAGGAAAGGATTATCTTTCAGATCATATTTATGAGTCTGACACTAAGAGAAAACTGGCTATAAAAACAAAACAACCTTAAATCTATTGCCCAAAGCATGGTCACCACCCTGTGCACAAGCCTTTGCACATGTGTGTCTCGCTCACGACGCTGGACGCCCCAGGTCAGAAACACGGTTCTCAGATGCGAAGCAGATGACACGTCGATAAACTATTCCATTTCACAATATTCCTTCCCACCCCGATCTGTGACAAAAGGTGCAGCTTTGTCCATTGACAGACAAGAATGACGCCCCCGTTGGTGCCCCAGGGGTCTTGCCGAGCTTTCAGCCCCTGGGAAGGCAAGCAGCTACCCATCCCCACACCGCCACTTGGGCTGATACAGTATGCCTTGGGTAGAACCTAAGTTGCTGCCCTAAGTTTCTGGATAAAGTAGCTAAGATAAGCTAGTCAAATGTGCGCTCAGTGAGCACCATGCACATCAGTGATGAGCAGTCTGAACTTGAGTGAGAGCATCTACTGTCTGGGAGACAAGGAAAGGAATGCTTTCCAACCAGTGTGCTAAGGACACATGAATCGATATTCGTTTTAGCCTTGACCAGGCAGACTTATTTCGTGAGTAAGAATCGCTAGCGTGTCCTGAATAGCAACACCGGGAACTCCACGTCGACACACTGGCCCCAATCATCACTTGATGCGTGCTACTATTTTAAAGATTACCATTGTCTTCCTCGTCGTCGTCGTCGTCGTCCTCCTCCTCCTCATCCTCCTCCTCGTCCTCCACGTCCTCCCCATCCTCGTCGTCATCCTCCTCCTCCTCCTCGAGCTCCTCCTCTTCCTCCCGGTCCCCCTCCTCGTCCTCCTCATCCTCCTCCCTGTGCTCGTCCTCGTCTTCCGAGAACTCTTCCTCCTCGTCCTCCTCCTTCTCGTCCACGTCCTCTGAACCCTCGCTCTCGTAGCACTCATCCACCGAGGAGCTGTCGGCTTTCATGGCAAACGGTTTCCGCTTCGGAGCAGGTTCTTGGGGCTGCTTATCCTGTGTTTTTCTTTTTTTAGCCAAGGGGCAGCCATATACGCTGTGTAGAGAGAGAGAGAGATCTGTGTCACTATCTTTGGAGGTTAGAGCAACAGGAACCCTGGTCCGGGAGCTAAGGCTTAGCACGAGCACCATCGACGCAGGTGCAGAGGGTCTGAGCTCACACACACACATGCACACGCACACATTCCCCTGGTCACCACCACACTCGTCTCCCCTCCCAGCCCTTGGTTATGGCCATCACACGATAACGCAGAGGTCCCATGGAGTTCAGGAGGACTTTTTGTGAGGCACTGCCTCCAAATCATGCAGGTGACGACACAAATTCACTTTGTTAAACATCTGGCCGAATACGCATTCTGTGTGATGCACATTTTACAAGAAGCCTTAGTTCATGCACAGTATATTAACAAACGCCCACTTACGTGAAATATAAAAATATGTGTGTTGCGAGGAAGTTTTGGATGTATTTGGATTTTTCTATTCTACAGACAAAATGGCATCTGTAAACATAACGACGTCCTCAAAGAAGATGAACCGTGAACACCGATTGCTGAGAACAGCCGCACAATTTAAACATACGAGGAATTTCGTCAGTCCAATCCCAACTTTACAGAAAACAAACTCAGTGTTGGACACAGTCGTCCCTAAATCATGCTGAAGTTGGCCCAAACTCGGGCAAGACACTTAGAGCAGGATCCCCACCCTTTCTCCCAGGAAGGACAATTTTCCAAAGTGACGTTGCTAATTACAGTTCTTGTCTTCCTGGATACCCTATAGATACACCACAGGGAATAAGGGGGGAAGACACGGAGGCACAAAGACAGGTGTTCCTTTTGTCTAAAACGAGATGTGTGATCTCTACGACTGACTGAACAGTCGGTAGGACTCTGATTAGTTTGTTTTCAGACCTGAAATGTGGAATATTTATCCAGTCTCACATGGACACATTTTCAGAGTCTCCTTGGTGCTGGACCCCGGGCCCTGCCAGACTCAGAGGGGAAGGACACAGACGTAGACAGGTGCGAATGAGACCGTGCTGGAAGCAAGCAGTGTGGTTTACACGTGCACCGAATACCTCACGCACGGGCACGCAGGAAAGGGCTGTTGAATGAACGGACGGCGTGTGATAAAGGCATGGTGAGGGCGCTACATTCTGAAAAAAGAGGGAGGGACAGTGGGTCAAGGGAGCTAGGACTTGCCCCAGAAGGCTGAGGCTGGGGGACTTTCGAAGGGGATGCATTGAGCTATTTAAATGCATTTCAAGCAAAACAGAGACTTTGCAAAGATGTGAACACAAGAAAGAGTCTGATCAGTGCAGAAAACAGACATAAAAACCAAACATGGGGGTTTAGCGTGTGTGACGGCGGGGCTGGCGGGAAGGTGGCAGGTGTGGGCCGAGGTTAGACGCCGCAGACCAGCCTGGGGACTTGGAGACGCGTCTCACCCCTGGGAGGGGCATGGGAGAGGGTAGGAGAGGCGGTCACTGTGCTGACCTGGTGTTGGCTGAGCGTCCTCAGAACCTCCGCCGGACACTCAAGTCCCTGGTGGGCTCTGGGGGCTCCCCAGCAGTGAGAAGAGGAGCCAGTTAGACCCACGGCAGAGGGGAGGGATGCGCACGTAGGAGGCATTCTGTTTGGAATATGATGCATTTGAGGTGCTGTGGCAGGTCTCACAGAGTGAGGGGTGGACAGATACTCGACTTTGTACTTCAGGGTCCCCAGCTGTAACCGAGCATCTTGCACGCTTGCTTTAGGGATGGAAGAAAAATGTTAGTGCAGTGCCTGGAGCCTACGCGGGACCCGGTGAAACATGGCGACTGCTCTTGGATCACCATCGCGATTTGCATTCCTGCTCAGGAAGCCAGCAATCCAGCAGGCTTGTCCCTCCGCACAGTTTGGACACTTACTATTGTGCTGTTTGTCACCCCTATCAACACTTCCCAGATAATTCAGACCGGGAATGAAAGGGAATGGTAAGGATTTCATGTCTTAGAAAATGATTTCTTCTGGTTGCTTGGGTGCATTTCATATTCTAGTAAAGACGACATGATTCGTCTGATGCCCTGGAGGACGCTGGCATGCATCGGTGCCCAGAGTTGAGGGACTTCATGCCCATCCTAGCGTGTGACTGTGGTCAGTCCCTTCTTCAGTGTGGATGTCCCTTTCTTCATCCGTAAAGTGAGGGCCACTGGGTGACTGCTGAGACTCCACCACCTCCAAAACCCAGGATGATTGGTCACCTGCCTTTTGAAACTTAGCATCTCTTAGAAACGTAATAATCGAAACAAGAATAATACTTACTATAACCAGAAAAAACCTGAAGAGAATATATATTGGTCTATATAGCATTTCTAAGATGAAATAAACAGAGTTCTGAGCTTTCTTTTGTGTGACTCTTTCCACGCACTGGGGAGACTGAGTCAGGGGCCTCGGACACACATGGCAGCACCTTGGAGGACTGGCTCCCCCTGCCTTGCTGTCCACCCCCTCGTGCTGAATGACCACCTGACAGCGAGTCAAGCCCGAGCTCCACAGCAGTCAGGCTTCTGGGGAGATGGCCCTGGTCAGGAGACTGCTAACGTGCCCAGTCTGTGTTTGTCCAAATGAAGACTTAGCAGTAAGCGCACTTGCTCTTGCAGAGTCGGCCCGCAGCGTCCAGCTCATGATGCCTGCTGGTCCCTGCCCATCAGGAGCTCTGTTCTGCATCAGGTTACCTGCACAGCAGGTGCCCACCAAAACAGAACACCAGGCCTCCCGTTGACCATCAGACTCATCTAGATTGCTGGGAAGTGATGTACAACCAGCCAACTCTGCTACTCAGCGATGCTCCTCAAAATGCTCCACCCCAACTGGCACTGGGAGACTCCTTCAGACGGATAAGCCCGCACCACGGCTGGGGTTCCTGTTTTATCTCCCCTCCCATCTGCACACACTTAGCTGCCTGAGATCTCCAGAGGGCCCACTGGCTCAGACCTTAAACGGCCAGGGAGGAGTGTGCAGATTATCCTTAAAACAGAGGCTGCAATTAGAAGTTCACAGAACTGGACTTTGCTCTGGATAGACAGGCCGCTGGGATTCTGGAAGGCGGCCTCTCTGGCTAAAATAACATCTGGAAGCCTGGGGTCTGAGCCGCAGGACGTTGTAAGTGGGGGTCAGGGGGCGTCTGGCCATCGGGATGGCCCCTCTTGTTCCCGTGGTCAGGACAGGAACCACGGCCCAGCCCCTCCTGCTCTGGTTCATTTTCCCATCTCTGGTGCCCACCACGGCTCCCTGTCCTCTCGAGCCCTCTGCGGTGGCGAGCCAGGGGCGTGGCGGGGGGAGGGGGAAGGAAAGGAGGGAGAGTAGAAACATCGCTGAGTCAGACGGTGGGAGAAGCGTGGGTGTCTGCCAGTCACCGCCTGAGCCGAGCCTCACCTAGCGGGTTCCAGTGTCAGCACATGACACATTTGTCAGACAGGGTAATGACATGGAGGGAACAGCTTTTCCAGAGCCCCGCATTCCTGGCTCGGCTCTGTTGACACCTGGATGGGCTCCCGGACACTGGCCGGGCCTCAGTTTGCCTATCTGTGTAATGAAAGCGTTGCCGGTCCCTTGACTGCTACAGTTTCAAAGCATTCAAAATTCCTAAGTGATCTCCTTATTGTTCCTAGTGAAGTATAAATTCTATCATCTCCTACTCTGTTTCTATTTATGATTTTGGAAACCATTTCAATTAAACTCCATACTGTTGGAGTTAGCTGGCCTCAAACATCCAGTAACTACTGCTAATTCGCATGGCTTGATGCTCAAAGTCTTTCCCTGTGTCCCTTAAGATTAACGGTAAATCATGTCGCACACTTAACTGCAAACGCATTCCGTTTGCCCCTTTCCTATCGGATCCAGTCTCACTGGCCACCAGCTCCTGGTGCCTACTTTACATTTGGGAGCAAAATCCAAGCCCAAAAGGGAGATTTTATTCATGTGTCAGATAGCAGGTGGATCGAGAACCTGCTCGAGTCCACAGAGGCCTCCTGGTCTATGAGACCCAGGGGTTCGGACTATTCCAGAGCGCGGCCTTGGAGGACAATTCTGCAGCGTGAGTCTGAGGAGTGTGGGTCCTCCGGAACCCACGTTCTGTGCGTACCCTGTCTGCTGATGAGGTGGCTAGCCAGCTGGGAGCAGAGAATCCGCACACCCACGAAGAGTGGGTGCTGCCTCCTCTCCATGGCTGGTGCTGCCAATCCAGGGGCTGTACAGGTCAGCGTGCTTCACACCTGTGTCCCACTCAGATTCATCTGGGCTTGCTGGTACCATCGCACATGAGTCTTTCTAGGCAGACAATAGAAACCCACAATCCCAGAATGTCTGCACTTTACAGAAAACACACGGAATGCACGGTAGAGTCTAGGAGTAACTGGGAAGCTGACACCAAGGGGAAGCTCCAGGTAAACGGACGAGGCAGGCGTGTGGCTGGCTGTCCCCCACACCTCCCCCATGCGGGAGCACCCGAGCTCAGCTGAGTGTCTGGGGTTCGTGTTGTTGCTTCAGTCCCCAATTCTGCTCCTCAGTAGGACAGTCAGCCTCCCCCAGCTGTGTATTTCCCATGGGGAACAGTGCAGCCCTGCTGATGGCTGGTGGTCAAGGAGTATTTGTTGAATGAACAGACCATAGTTTTCTCCACTTATTAAAAATGAAAGCACTTACCCCGTTCTGGTGTGATTATGGGTTCTCCTTCAAGAGACTGAGAAAACGGCCTGTGTTTAACAGCTTGTTACATTTCAGAGCTGGAGAGTCCGGTACAGTTCAGAAGCTCGTCATGTGTAGCTATTTAATTAAAATTAAAGAAAATTTAAAAAATTAACTCCTCAGTCATGCTAGTCACATTTCAAGGGTCCGGTAGCCATAGGCGGTGGGTGGCTAGCATATTGGGGATTTCCACCACCACGACCAGTTCAGTGGGCGGGTCTGAGCCACAGTGGGTGCTCGGCAGGTATTTGCAGAATGAGCACCTGATGGAGAGGACAGTGGATACTGCAGGAAGAAGAGGAGAATGGCATAG